GTTATAAACAAACACATAGTTGAAAAAGTATGTAAAGTGTGGTAACATATAACATGCATATTATTATCATATTCCTTATGATTTAGTTCAAAGGGCTTTATTCTAAATAGATCAAAAGAAAGAAAGTGGCTTACGTCAGCCACTGATTTCAATGAAAAAGCACATATTATTAAGTGAAGAGTAATTTTGCTGCAAATCTGTCCTCTTCTGGGCGAGCAAAGAGAATGATTTAATGCATTGTAACCCAACTGTTTCTTGCTGGAGAGCATGGGAGAGAGCACCCTATCCTTTATAAAAGATACCAGATCTTCATCATACGTGTCAACAGTTTGTGAGTTAACTTTCCAGGATATATGATGTTTGACATCAACCATACCAGAGGTTGAATTTTTGCGTAGTCCCATACAATTACAATGAATACATGTCTTCAATTGTCTCCATAATAACCATCAATGTAGACACTATGAGATTGCTACATGTAACATAATAAAAATTATAATGAGGCTGGAAGAAAATCACAAATTTTCGGTCATTGAAACACGGAGATCTGTCTCGATTTTTAATCATGTATCATCTAGTTTTGCATGTCCCAAACAAAATAATAATAATAAAAAAAAAATCATCCCTCGACACAGAAGGATTCAGTGAATCCAGGTTAGTAGTTACTCGAACGCTTTATCGGTTTACATCTGACAGTATTAACCGAGACTTGAACGCGATCTTTGAAGAATGGTTGTAATATTTAAATTTAACAAAAATACTAGCATGAAGTGCAACCGAAACCTTACCTTACCGTACTAGGTCCGATAGAAAAGCACAACTTCGATCACCAACGCACTCCAAACTAAGAAGGGAATCGAAACCACGAGGCAATGTCAAATTCTCGTCTTCCTAAGCTTTCCAACGTATCGAAGAAAATTTCGCCAATAATTCGCACTTAAAAACGCAACCAGAATCTTAATCTTTCACCAATCCGAAGTGTCCCAAACGACACTAAGGATAGCTCATGAAACAAGGATATCCCGTGAAATTCTTAACCTTCTAGCGCGGAAATCTTAGCGATCTTCTTACAATTAATATTTTTGCATTGCATCCCTCCCCTAGTTGGGAAGTGACAAGCAAGAGACACGTTTACAACGCCTTTTGATTGGAAAAAAAAAACCACATTCTATTGGTTATTAATTGTGAGGACATAACTGCAACCGAAGACACAACTGCAACGCTATATCCTCCTCCTCCTCATTCCTCCCCATTCCTCCCCATTCCTCCTCATTCCTCCCCATTCCTCCTCTTTTCCTCCTCATTCCTCCTCATTCCTCCTCTTTCCTCCTCCTGCTCTTTCCTCCCCATTCCTCCTCTTTCCTCCTCTTTCCTCCTACTCCTCCTCATTCCTCCTCTTTCCTCCTCCTCCTCTTTCCTCCTCATTCCTCCTCTTTCCTCCTCCTCCTCTTTCCTCCCCATTCCTCCTCTTTCCTCCTCTTTCCTCCTACTCCTCCTCATTCCTCCTCTTTCCTCCTCCTCCTCTTTCCTCCTCATTCCTCCTCTTTTCTCCTCCTCCTCTTTCCTCCCTATTCCTCCTCTTTCCTCATCTTTCCCACTAGCTCCAAGGTATCTATATTCAAAGTTTACGTGNTTATCGAAATTATGAGGTTTCATATAAGCTCGAGCATGCCGCATCATTCTCCTCAAAGAATCCTCATCCGCATGCGAAATAATATCCAAGATGCTTTCTATCTCCACAACGGCTACTTTTGGATTGTCCACAATGTAATGTTGTCTATCGACCCTATTCATGGCCATCCTTTGCTTCTGAAACTTCGCGCGCGTATACTAGTTTTGTATATTCCAACACGGCTTTAAATATCTGGTTCCTCTTTTCAACTAGTTCACCCGTTTCGTAGTCCGAACAAGGTCCTTGTGGATCTTGGTAGTACAATTCTCCTCTCTTTATAATTCGCTCTAATGTGTCGGCGTCTGCAAAACTAGCAATGCTTTCCAATATTTCGTTCATGTAGCTGAGACCGAGATCGGTAGAAATCATCTCTCTCTCTTGAATTTTGAATGTAAGAAAAAAATTATACGAAAACACTGCTCTTATTTGACACCGTCTACACCGCTTTCAACTTAGGTATGACCTCCTATTGGATTTGGCCATGCGTTGACTTCTCTGACCGTCTCGTCAAATAATTTATCGGATCTTCTTCTGGTTACAGCGCTGAGTACAGTAGTTTTGATGACGAGCAATGATTGACACTATATTAATTGCAATACAATTTGATTTAGCTTAATTTACACCTTTTATATAGATGTGATAATAAACACATTTTTTGTTACCACATTTTTTGTGAGTGTATTGCTTATAAACGGTACCATATGAGTACGATAACCTTTTGGGATTCTTATAAATACCTCTTTTGCTTCTAGTAATATTCGGTTAGGCGACTAACCCGCGATACCCAAACGCGTAATATAGGGTCCATTCACTTTTTACTTAATCCCTCCGCCATCTTGGACTCTTTTGTTCCCTTTGTTTCCGACGCCATCTTGGATTCTTTTGTTTCCTTTGTTTCCGACGCCATCTTGGATCTCTTTGTTCCGTTTCTTTTGAAATCATAAACCCGTATCCTTAAAAACCTCTCGTAAACCTACGCAACGTGAATAATTGGCCCTAAAAACCCCTTGTACACCTATGCCATATGAATATATTAACCTCTATACCCTTTAAACCCCTCGTACACCTACGCGACGTGAATAAACTCGGACCGCAGGGTCTGGGTCCGAGTGACTCGGACCCAGACCCTGCGGTTATGACCATACAGGCGCCGTAAACTACTGAATAATAACATAGAATGATGTCAAAGTTCTCGATCGTTTATTTATATTTTATATGATCTATTTATTTCATAGCTATAACATCCTTGATTACTGAAGGATCCGTTTAGATTTCAAAAATGAGATTCTCTCGCAATATACCGTTCAACATCTACTGTTATAAGTTACAATGATAATGACCGTGTAAATAACCGCATCAGTCTTTAAAAGCTGTTATCACCGTGAACCCTGCTAATTATTCATCTCTTCCCCTTGTTCCACGTGTTCTAATACAAAAGCTTATGAAAATACATTAATCTTATTGCGCTTGGCACAATTTAAAAGACGATGACCTTATAAACGCAATTCGCCTATACCAGTATACTTCTACTTCGTCATGTTTTATCGTCCGAAGGACAAAGTAACGAATCTAAAAATGCAATTACAAGTACTCTTCTATCACGCATTATAGTTCTCTATTTTCTCAGTGCAGTGAGCTGCAAGTACAAAGAGTTTCTTCACCTCTGATACGTCTTCAAATGTCCTATACGGCCGCGTTCTCGCTAATAAGTTCTATGTAACCATGAGGATCAAGGGAAATAGAATCGCCACTGTCACGATGTAAAGGAGTTGGCCTACCCAACACATTTTGCTTTGCTGATTCATCAGTAGACAACGACGCGCTGGTCGCCAATGAGTCATTTTGTTCAGGCAGGGTTTGAGATATGTTTCCATAGTGACGCTCTTGATTGTCGTTAACAAAAGGAGAAACAGTCTGTGATTTATCATCCGTTGATAGACTTTTCTCGGAGATGGACAGTGGTGAGGGCACAACAGATGGACGCCTCTTTTTCGGAAGTTCAGGAGGTTCGCTCCCAATGGAATTCATTCGTATTGGTCCCATGGACCTTGGCCCAGATGTGTTCCTAATCAGGTCCACTGAGGGCTCGGTGATACCGACCAACGTTCGTCGTCCATCATCACCTTCTGGCAGACGACTTTCGATAGAATACATTTTTATTGGTCCAGTGGGGCGGGTCACAGAGTGGTGCTTCGTTGGGGCTATGGAATGATCTCCAACAGACTTCCTTCTTCCGTCATTAGTAGAAGGAGGGAGGCTTGTAGTTCGAGAAAGACCTGAAGCTATGATAGTGCTTAATTTCCTTTCTGGTGTAGGAGGTTTATCACTTCCCCGGATCCGTATTTCTTCATAAGGTGCTGGCCACGGAATGGAACTAACTGAAGCTTCACGGGATCGCCTTAATTCGTCAGGGTCTTCGTAATATCCTTCGGAGTCGGAAAGTTGCGGCTCGGGTTTCGGAGGAATAGGTGCTGGTGGACGATTTCTATTATCGAAATAGGTACCCTCAGGGTTTTCAGGATCCATGATTTGTTCCGTGGATGCACTGGTGTCCTTTCTGATGGGAGGTTGACTACGGTTACGAAAATGTCTTATCAACTGGAAAAACAAAGGTAATGGAGAAAGAAGCTAAGTTGCNTTTATCAGTTGAGCAAGAAGATAGCAGCTAACCTTCCTTTATCAGTTGAGCAAGAAGATAGCAGCTAACCTTCCTTTATCAGTTGAGCAAGAAGATAGCAGCTAACCTTCCTTTATCAGTTGAGCAAGAAGATAGCAGCTAACCTTCCTTTATCAGTTGAGCAAGAAGATAGCAGCTAACCTTCCTTTATCAGTTGAGCAAGAAGATAGCAGCTAACCTTCCTTTATCAGTTGAGCAAGAAGATAGCAGCTAACCTTCCTTTATCAGTTGAGCAAGAAGATAGCAGCTAACCTTCCTTTATCAGTTGAGCAAGAAGATAGCAGCTAACCTTCCTTTATCAGTTGAGCAAGAAGATAGCAGCTAACCTTCCTTTATCAGTTGAGCAAGAAGATAGCAGCTAACCTTCCTTTATCAGTTGAGCAAGAAGATAGCAGCTAACCTTCCTTTATCAGTTGAGCAAGAAGATAGCAGCTAACCTTCCTTTATCAGTTGAGCAAGAAGATAGCAGCTAACCTTCCTTTATCAGTTGAGCAAGAAGATATCAGCTAACCTTCCTTTCCTCTGAAGCAAACGTCAGCACCAGCGCAGTACGGTTTATTCAATAGTATATCATCCTTGTCGTGTTCGCACCAGTAGCATCCCACTACGCCGTCGCACTCTTGTGAAGTGTTCCTCTTACCACAGTGAGGAATGAAGCACTTCTCTAATCCAGATCCAGAATCGCAAGAAAAAGAAGGGGTGGGATCACTTGTTGGTTCAGCACTTGGTAATGAAGGTGGGCAGATTGGTAGGCTAAAGATAGAAATGAATACGTTACGTGAAAAAAATGCCTGGCAGGTTTGAACAGTGGCTTAAACATTTTCTGTTGTATTAGTGTAACACACTTATAAAGACTGTACTCTTGAGTTTTTGAATTCAGCTCTGAAGCAAGCGTTTCTCGTGATTGACAAGGCTTGCATCAAATTTACCTGTTAATCTTAGATGTCGTCGTATCATCTTCATGGTGTTGAGTACTTCAGCAGTGTTAGATCTTTTTAAAACCGAATATAGCTGTCAAACTACTTTAAGGTGACTAGAGCAACTTACCTCCTATTGGGGAGAAGGCTGCGACAGTAATGAAACTCCAGGGGTGATGTACAAGGGCACTCACACGTAGGGTTGAGAAGAAAGCAAACATTATCTGAAGAACAGGAACATGCCTCTTGAGGACAAAATGAGTCTCTAACAGCAACTCCTGTGAATTAAAAAGACTAAGACTGTAAAGTTATTCTAACCGATACAAAAAGCAGCAGGAGACAACCAAACAAACAGAGGAGGATGGAAAAACGAACCGACAGACTAAGAACTCGGTCCCAACAGAACTCTTAAAAGTATGACATACCTAAGTAAGCATTGGTTCCTTTGATTTGTCTTAGTTGGTATTTCGAGCATCTTGCGTCACTTCTTAGAGTATCTACTCCACCATTTTTTTGCATTTTATCTTCATTAACTTCATAAAAGCTTTGTTTCTGAATCTCATCCAGATGGCGGCACTGCTTTTTTATCAAATAATCTTTCTTGATAAGGTCTTCGGCGATGTTCTTTTCTTTCTCTGTAATATGTACATATTGTAGATCTGACGCTGTGGCTGAGGAAAGTAAGAAATCCTCGTGCATGATAAGAAAGCCAGCGCTGTCCATTACGAAACAAGAGTACGATTTGGTCTCCTTACATTTTGGATACACATCAGTTAGCAACCTGTTAAATATAAGATATAAATATAGTGAGGTAGGTTATGCAGATACTCGTTAGGGAAAATATAGTGAGGTATTTCATGCAGACTTTCGTTATGAAATAGCATTGGGGAATGCTCCATAAAAATGTTTGTTGTTTTCGTGAGACACCATGTTCTCTCTGCTGAGTTTTTCTTTCCAACAGTATTTGCAATATAGTCATACGCTACATTCTTTATGGGCTATGCTATGATTGTGTAACAGTTTTACATCTTAGAAATTTCGAAAAAAAATTAACAGTTTGCAATTCGTGTCAGTCTTTTCCTTGTCTACCTGTGTGCTTTCTTATCAACCTTTTAAATTTGCATTAGCCTTCAAATTTTTGGATTTTCCATATTACCACATTTAAACTTTGTAGTTTCCCTGACGTTAAAGCTAGTGTTTCGTTAACAAAAAAGAAAAAAAAAAGTCTCTATCTTCATTAAATACTATAAAGTTTTTCAGGATAATAACGAGTTGATATCGACTGAGTACTAGCTCGGCACGGTGCCTATAAGAAAATAGAAACGAAATGTCTCGTGTTTAAGATAGCTTCTGTAAATTCTACTGAGGCTCTTCATCATAGTAACGAGTGTATATCGAATATGTAATAGTTATGTACCTATGGAAATACGTGAGGGGAAAGTCAGCCCCCATAACTCCAAACACTTCATCATTGCTTTTGTGAACGTGACTCGACTCTCCGCGGTGCAAAGAACGGCCAGCGGTTATCACTACTCCGGCTCCTCCGATATCCAAATACGGAGTTGTAAGAGCAATTAATCCGGTGTGAGCCAAGGCGGTAAGATACCTAAAGAGATGATAAATCAGTCCTTCGATTTTCTTCCCAATCACTCAAGATAAAAACTCTTTAGCATCAGAGGATAAAAAATGACTGAAAGGGAGGCGATTTAACAGGTGTTCGAAAAAAAAGTTTTTACTCCATTTAAAAACTGCAAACATCGTCTTACTAACCAGGGTCTTTGCCTAGGGTCGTAAAGTTTGTTTTCAGTGGTGCCTGGAGTGAACCTAAAGATTCCATTTGATGTTCCAAAGTAGCGCCAAACCAAATACTGCGTGAGGTCAGTTTTTTCACGCAGCCACAGGTCTTCCACTTTCGACGTTGCTCTCACTGTGCCCCTGATATCATTTTTCAGGCCAGGGTTGGCCACTTTTCCAGTGTCATCTTTCATGTAAGCATTTAATAACTCAACATCAGCTTTTGTTTCATCCATGCCAATGTAGTTGTATGGGTCCTTGAACGCCCCTGGAGCAAACTTAACCACTGTTGTGTCTATCAAAGACAAAGAGCATGATGTTCAAAGGTGGGACCATTAAGAAAGAGCAGTTTTTTAAGTACATTTGGGATTATGCAGCTAGCCGGAGGGTTAGTAATGCCGCTTTGTATATGGTCAAGGTAACTGGGAATGGTTATCATAACTTGAAAAGTCTTTGCATTATTTGGAAAAAACGTGGATACATCATTTAAGCTATTATTGGTTTCCGAGGAAACAAATCACAAATGGTTAAGATTAGTAACAATCGGATGAAAATGGCCTCGTTTACCTTTTGTCGCATTTGTTCCAAAATGAGAACATAGTTTTCCAGGATTATATAGGTCTATTCGGTGGTAGTCAAACTTGTATCCTAAAGAAACAGCAACAAGATTTAGTCAATTGATATACTTATCATCATTTCTATGTCACCGGCAGATAAGGTTAAAAATGAGCGGTGAAACCTTGAAACAGTCTTACCATCTAAAATTCCAAATCGACCCGAAGACGTGGAAAACGAAGAACCTCTTCGGAGATATCCACGACTAAATCCGATTTATATCCTTCCTATCATGAAGTAGGTAAATATGAAAGACATCGATATCCTTTATAACCTTTCTTAATGTTTACCAGCTTGCCTGCAAGTTACCTTCCAAGTCGTGGAAATACAGAGTTCATTCGTAGCTCTTCAAAATCTAGGCTGAGCCTAATTTGAAAATCCTCCTCAAATAGGGAGGACTTTAATTGCAAACCGAGGGCTAAGTCTAGAAAACTCACCATTTGAAAGTGATGGCGAAGTTAACTCATCCTTTGAATGGGATACTGGCACAACGACGCCGAGGGAGAAGTCGATGTCCTCGATTGGCGTCCAGAAATATGTAGCATTAACTTCCTGCATTGTCACTCCTTCCTTCTCTGTTCCACCTCGTGGCAAAAATCGCTTTGCAACAAATGTTTTGTAACCTGCAATTCTCCTGAAAGAGCAGATAGTGCGCGTCAAACTAAATAACACCAGAGTCTCATCAGATTAATCATATTTTCGTATTAACAGTGGAACCTTCTTCAATTCGTTAGGAAGAAACCGAGTAGAGAAAATCTCCATGACTTGAAGCCGTTAATGGAAAGCACCTTTAATTGGAAATATCTACATCTAAACCGTGTTCTAGGAATTATATACTTAGTCTTGAAATTGGTTACAGAGAGACTACGAGACTAATTTTGATGTTGAGAACTTTGCTATAGAATGAACGATGAATACGAATGATTGAAACAACTATATTTACTTTTGTATTGATTCAAAGACTTCCTCGAACTCTTTCTCTGGTTCCAAGGTCCTGATGTCCAAATAAACAGGCTCCCCGTAAGCATGAGTGGGCGCTGGGAGGAGAGGATGAATGAGGGTCCTCCCCGAATTAGCGATCATGAACGCATAGGTACTCTGGTCTTGATTGAAAAAAGTTATGTCTGACAACAAGTCTTCAATATTGATGTCGGTGCCTGTGACGCCAATAAATTTCCCGTAATGAAAACAGGGCAGGGTAATCGACATCAAAAGTCCTGTAAAAGATAGAGAATGACCAAAAAAATTTATTTGATATCATCAAAGGACAACGGAAAGGAATGAAGATAAATTTATAAAATCGAACACTGAAAGAGCTCATAGTTACCTGTTCCAAAGGCATCAATGTACGGAACAGAAACAACTGGATCGAACTGGGTCCCCAGCGAAAACAAATTGTAGTACGTAGCCATTTCACCTCTCAGGTTGTTTATGTCTTGCACGAATTTATATCTTCCAGGCTAAGAATCAGAATAATTTTGCAATAGTTTTTTAATTCAGTGATTCATTTGTGAACACACGACGAGAACAAACAAACAAAACCCTCTTGCCTTATGTTTGCACGACCCTCTCGCCTGTCCTAAGATGGTAAAAAATGTTTTGTAGCAAGATTTGATGTAACCTCTGTTTTTATCTTCCTTAAACTAAATATTCATCATTGTGGTTCACATCAAAACTTACTGTGATATCACCAACAGAAACGTTGGCTGGTATTCCATACTTTGGTGTGTTTTGATTCGCTATGTCCTCAAGAATCGCAGAATCGGCGTCTCCAAATCCATAAGTCAGGATTACAACAGAGTTGTTAAGCGCAAAGTTTTCATCCCTTATGGTTTGAAAAATATCTTTTACTGGATCAGCTGGAGCGCCATCCGTCATGAATAAGATGACTCTTTTCTTCCCTTTTCTCTCTTCCCCAGAAATTGAGTTCTTAAGCAGACTGAATGCTTTTTCAAAGGCTAGTTTGTAATTGGTGGAACCTGAAAACAATGAATTTAAACACAGCTAGTTATAAAATACGAAAAAAATTCCCTGCATAGATAAAAAACGAGAAATGTTCAAGGATGAAATTTCTTGAGCAGACCCCATGGAAAGCCCACTTGATGGTAGGTTGGTGTAAGACTCAACTTTCATCTCTTTCTCGAGCGTTAGGAAAGAGTAGGGAGAATTGTAGGGCTATTCCATTACTGACGGTAGCTGGTTACCCAGCCAAAGATGTTGTTCGAGCAGCCAGTTGACAAACCTCTGCATGTTTGTCCCACCATCCGTTGTAATGAGTTGTAATGAATATAAACGAGTCTTTTTAGTTGATATATCGTGTTTTTTTTTCTGTGAGATATTGGCGCAAGATCATATAAGCTTGGAACAGATGTCAGAATGCAGAAAATATTTTAAACATCAAAGGTAGTAAACTTCGATATAAGCATAAGTGATCAGGAACAGAAGAGACCGCAGTGTAGTTACCGCAAATACTTGTGATCGTTACCATGAACAAATATCATAGGCTAATATATTTCCTAATATATTTGAAACATACGGACCAATATCATAAATTTTCAGTGAAGTGTCGAGGTACCTACCGTGCGGTATCAGGTTGCGAACGTAGTCTTTCATCTCTCCGATATTTGTAGGGATCGCCTGGGCCAACCTAACACTATAGCAAGGGCTTCTTATTCCAAGTTCTCCTGGTGTTGAAACGCCATCGTTGAATGAAACAATTCCAATCTGAAATCAACAATTTAAAAGAAAACGGGATTGTGGTATACCTGTCAAATAAACGTTTTCCTCTGAACCCTGGAATGTAATATAATCTTCTTTGTATGTAGTGCTGCAGACTAAGAATTCATAGTGGTATTCCGCTCAACCCGATATCATTACGGTATCTTTCGTTTGATGATACAGTGGTTTCGTATTTAAGAGCAAAATGGCATCGAGCGTAATTTCTTTTTTAGAGCTTAAACCTGTCCAGCCAGCTGAAGGCACAGTTAAAATGTGTATAAGTAAAAAAGTTTTTGTTTTTTCAATGAGCATTTGCCGTATGGAATGACTGACCAAGATCAACTGTCCGAGCTTTTTGAACATTGCAGCCTTAAAATGGTGCCTACTCTGTGAAGAACTAAATCTGACAAACGGAAGAAAATGCTCGAGTCTGTAAACAATATTTATTTAGTAAGTTTATCCATATAAGCCTCGTAGTTTGCTTATGGTGGGTAGAACTTAGCAATGAGTTATAATATCTACATATCGACTAGAACCAAGTTAAAAGAAAGATGACACCGGACGAACTTATATAAGATATCCATTAAAGTGGAATGGTAGCACCAAGAAGTAGTCAAACGAGATGACGTCACTAGAGGTATTTATATCTTTCCCTTGCCTTTATTCTTAACGGCCTTGCCGGTAACGAGCAATTATATTGATAGCTCAAGCAAATGCATCAGCCGAAACCTTGGGACGAGGAACCACCCACCTGGTCCTTGGGATTCATAGTATCTAACACTGTGTTAGCAGCTTGAATAGCGCCGTTTAATTTTGTTGTGTCCATAGATCCACTTGTGTCGATCACGAGCACCACATCTTTAGCTTCTGGTGTTGCAGTTTCCACGTAAAATGGTCTGAAACGAGGGTCATATCTATTGCAAGCGTCTTTATCATCATACACTGGGAAATTGGTCATGACTCCTTGTTCTGACCCAAAGTATTGCCACTTGATAAAGGGATAAGTTCTTGAGATATCTTTCATTTCGTTTACGACACCCTCATCTAAATAACGCGGATTTGGATGGGCGCTGCCAGATATTTTCAAACAGACATTGTCTAGGTCCACCTTGGAACGGAATCGTACATCGTATTTCAAAGTCGATTTGTCCACCTTGCAGCATTCTTTCTGTGGAGATACCTGAGCAGATTCCGTCCTGGCATACGACTCCTCTACAGCTTTTTTGAGACGTTTGGCAACTTGAAACCTTACTTTGAACTTATCGGAAAGTTTAACGGCCAGGTCAGGGGTAATGTCCGCTCCTTGTATCGTCCTTTTATGATACTGAAGACCATCGAGATATTTCTGTAAGACAGAGAAAAGGACCGCAAAGTGTATTACTAGTAATCTATCTTATACATCCAAAAGGAACAATGCAAAGGAATAAAAAAATAAATGAAAAAATTTTAGACTTTTGTTTAGCTTTTTTCACGTAAGTAATCGAGTAGCTCTGCATCACTGCCTGCTGAGAAAGGAATATTTATAGATTGGGTGACGTGAACTAGTTAATAGGAAAACAGGAACATAATTAATCAGTAGTGACTCTGCAATTCCGGCTAATGAACATGAATGCATTAAAAAATCACAACATTAAACGTTCATTACAAAACTTGGCTTTAATCTCTGAAATGGTAATATTCCTAGATACCATATTGACCAGCCCTCAAGTTCAAGAAAATTTGACTAAACTAAAGAAATTTGAAACTCTTCTTGGTTTGGCTAGTGTTAATATATACATGATGCGCATTTGAAAAATTAGTTAGCTATACTGCACCACATCATGTGAATTTAAAGCTGAAAGAGTGGCAAGGAAAAAAATTGGGATCTCAGACAAAAACGTTTGAAGGAAAAGACTCGAACTCTGGGTCGCAGAGACTTTATTAAGGTCACAAAGTGCATTGCTGACGATGAAAAAGAAAACGGAAATTTCACCCACCTGCATATCTTCTACTCCAAGCGCGTCCCTGGCAAACTTTTGAAGTTCTACACCAATACGGGAAGGATCCAGCAAACCCGAGGTTACGTGGAAGGCAAAAATAGAAAGTAAAACCAAGAAGAAAGTTTCCATTCGGTGTGTATCCATCGCAGACCTTAAACAGACGTATTTCGCTCTGCTACCGCTTACTCCCTTCACCGCCTACGTCTCTCAGGTCACTGAGTTTAAAACGCATATTTTACGATTTATGTAAATATTGTATGTAAAACTACTGCCTTCTCGCATGATAGATTCCACTACTGGTCTATTAACTGGTATTGTTCATAATTATATTCTGTGGTTTGCCGGCTTCGCCCATGAATGACGTAGTTCCTATTAAAACGGATCGGTTTTAGCAAAGAACAGTTTCAGATCAGCATCTATCTTTACAGCCCAACATTAAGATGTGTTTATAGCAAAACTCATTGGCTTCACCGCTAAACGCGAAGAACAATTTCATATTCATAATCTGTGCCATGATTTTACGAGCGACAAGTAAAGTTACTATTTGTTTGTGCAAAAATAATGAAGCATTAACTTGAATGACGCGTCCATTAGTAATCCTCATGTGTACCAATCTATTGTGTTATCTTGTTTACTAGTAGCTTTACGGTAACAACAGAAAGCTTATGGGAAAAACTGAATTGTCCACTGCGCTATTACTTCTATAAACTTCATACGACTGCAGGTGTTTTCAAAATAAGACATATAACTTTCCTCCCTTGACACACACACACACACACACACACACACACACACATGTAAATACCAGTTCAATTGCCACTTTGTGTTCATGATTGTGCAAACATATCTATTTAGCTAATGTCTCAGTGTTTTTTAGCCGATAAATAGTTAATTTTCGATCGCTTTACCCAGTGATAGCTTTAGATAACAAACAGGAAGAAATAAAATTCGATTGTCCGCTACGCCATTTTGCTTCCTGTAACCTTATCGCGGTGTAAATGGTAGGCCATTAAATTGCGAAACATAAGTTCCCCTGCCTCTTATTTATATTACATGTCTATATTTGACCTTTGAAGCATGTTTACTAAAACAAAAACGTTGTAGAGTGAAAAGGAATCTTCAAGAACAGAATGATAAGGAGAAATAGTTTAAACAGCTTCTTCTGATGTTAAAATTAACGGTTTTGGTAAAACAGTTTCTTAGGCTATTTAACAACCCCTGCACATCAACTCTCTTTATGTTTTCATTACTTGAATGATCATTGATACGTAAAGAAAGTTGACCTCGAAACTTCCACCTGAACTTAATTCAATCACGACAGCAGGAAATGAACACGAAGGAATTTATGAAGCTCTACCATATGAATTTACATGGAGTAGGTTTTGGCACGAAGCTCACGTTCTAAAGAAATGAAAATATTAGGAAGGTAACAGGTGATATTTTCCCTCAGCTTGAACAAACAAAATCCGCAAAGTAGTTGAAGTAATCCTTGACGTAGTTGAATACGGGTTATTCAAGCGAATTATTTTTTTCTTTCTCTTGTTCTTTTGTTTTTTTTTGTTTTTGTTTTTTTATCTTTTTTTTTTGTTTTGTTTTCTTTTTGAGATTCCTGGATGCGATCAGCATTCCTTGGAGTTTCACTTAGCCACATATTTCAGTCCGTAGAGCGGCCATTTAGAGTAAGGTTGTTATTGAAGTTCACAACGGTAGAAAAACCTTGTCATGCACTCGAATAACCGCAAACATGTTCGACGTCAAAAATATTGGTTTGGATTTAAATGCATGATCAGTCTCAAAAGAGGGAACGCATTGTCGTTTCGATTAGAACTGATCTGAAACCCTTGCAATACTGGATTAGCTATTGTTTGGTGACACTATCATCAGACGTTCGATTTTTTTTGGAGAAACACAGCGTTGATTTTCTTGATTGAAAATAATAGACTGTCATAATGACATGAAATATCCTTTGGTTACTTGGTTTAACTGATATTGGTTACTGACCGTTTCAGGTCACCTGTGAGACGTTTTCACTCAAACGTGACTAGGTTTATCTTTCGGTTTGTCTCCGTGGTAACAGCTGATACAAATCAAAACATTCGGTTTTCTTTAAGTTGTAAATTAAGTTTCTTATCAATAAAGATTTAGAAACGCAAAGACTAGCAAAAACTAACGATAAAAACCGACGTTTCGGTGTCATCATGACGCCATTGTCAAGGAGAAATAAAAAATGAAGTTTGTGGCAAGGTGTAACACTAAATTAGCAGAAATATGTTACGAGCTAATTAAACAAATACTTTTGCGTGAATTGAATCGCTTTGCACGTTCAGAGTGGGTTTTAAGTCTCTGATGAAAAGCATTTCGTTCACCAAACAATCGAACTTGTTACTACACTTTTTCAGAATGCTAAAACGTTTCAGTAGGTCTTTCGGGACTTCGCTGTGCCGTTCATGGTAGTGTTTATATATTGAAGATACCTTTCGTTTATGTCCATCCACGTGTCGATGGACATAAACGAAAGGGATCTTCAATATATAAACACTACCATGAACGGCACAGCGAAGTCCCGAAAGACCTACTGAAACGTTTTAGCATTCTGAAAAAGTGTAGTAACAAGTTCGATTGTTTGGTGAACGAAATGCTTTTCATCAGAGACTTAAAACCCACTCTGAACGTGCAAAGCGATTCAATTCACGCAAAAGTATTTGTTTAATTAGCTGGTAACATATTTCTGCTAATTTAGTGTTACACCTTGCCACAAACTTCATTTTTTATTTCTCCTTGAAAATGGCGTCATGATGACACCGAAACGTCAGTTTTTATCGTTAGTTTTTGCTAGTCTTAGTAAATGAAGTTAATCGAAAAAATCATTTACAAACTGTGACAGTAGTTTATACAAAGCGCCCTTTTAATGCTTTGAGTCCAGCATTTTATACCGAAGTACAAAACGCTAAATTAAAAAGATTATTCAAAATGAGTTCGGCCCTCTTGCATTCGAAACACATCAAAACAATTTTAAAAAAATACATGGAGCATAAATTTACGTAGAAAAAAGTTCTTATGACAGTACATTCTGAGGTGCACGAGACAGTGACTCGACACAACAACCATATTTCTCACCAACAACAGCCAAACAAAATTTTCAAAATTTTTGCGGTTCAAATGAGTTGAATGGCATTCTAGAGGTATCCTACGGGAGTCAATAATTCTGGAGACATAAATATCACTAGTTATACAACACATATTATGTATCCTTCAGGATCAAGTACTGTAGAGTTGCTACTTTCTCGTCTCGTACGCACGTCTACTGGTGGGTTAGAGTCATATTGCTGCTCATTAGCTTCAATAGAGGGAGGCATTATAGCATTAGAAGGCCTCTTTTCGGAAGTTTTTTGCGTTATGTTGCCATCAAGCTGCTGTACGTTATTAATTTCCTGGGGAATGCAGCCGGCATCAGATGCCGAGGTCTGCTGCTGATCCTCCGAAACCCTTTCTTCTTTAGAGACAGCTTCAGGGGGAGTAAAAATTATTTCAGTGTTCACTGGTGCTGGAATTGGTGCTGCACCTGTCCTCACATTTTTCGGAGACACATCTTCCTGTCTGTCTGCATTAGACGATCGCTTTCTGGAGCTATCCAAAGTGGACATTTCAACACTTGTCTGTCCAGAAGAACCGCTTGCTTCTGATACAGCCCTAGTTAATTGCTTCCTTGCCGGGACCGCTGGAGGGTCATCTATGACGTTTTCGTACGAATGCTCCTGAGCAAGAGTTATCGGAGTTTGGGTAAAACGCGTTGGTCTTTCTAATACATTATAAGTACCATTCTTAGGTTGCGCTGAAGGACGCCGCTGGGTAGAATCCGCAGAGGCACTTTGAGTTCCACTGACAAATATTTGTTCCGTAGAAGAACTTGCGTTTGCAATTGACTTATTTCTACAACGCCTTATCGTCTAACAAAAACAAAATTGAATGGGGTAGATTCAGAATTGAATAAAACGCATGTAAATAATTGTAAATCTTAAGTCAGACCAAATGATAACCTAAAATACTGCTTGAGTATCGATAAAAAATAAACGAGAAATTTTAAATGAGAGTGTAAAAATAAACAATAAAATTGGAATATCGTGGGTCTTTTGGGTGCTAAGTTCCATACAAACTCCCAATCCTTACCAAGACGACCACTATTAACATAGCAGCTTCGACAACCACACAACCAGTAACAATTCCACAGATAGCTCCGTACGATAAGGGACGAGATTCCCTATCACTGCTTGGTTTAACATCAGAACTGTGGTTTACTTGTGTTGGAGGCGAGACGACGGCTGCGCTTGTTGCTTCGCTTGGGCAGTTCTCTTTTTCAACTGTGCAATATAGAAACGTGACACAGACAATCATTGTTCTACAATGATTAATAACTAGAAGCAGGGATCTTGTCTCGATAGGATTTTATGACTGTGTGCTCGTCAAAAAGGAAATTTTTATCACGGCCCTCTGTTTCATACAACGCAATCACAAGAGCGCAGGCTTCATGATTTCGTTGAAAAGTTATCTTAACCGAAAAAACAAAAGGGCATAAAAAGGTTTCCACAAAACACAGAAGCTTTGACGAAGGAATGAAAGCTTATGACTCTTGGCGAAACACGAGCAACTGGGTAAATGACGACGATCGATCTCAGAAACTCTTCACCTTGTCTTACATTGAAAAATTCGCAAAACACCTCCGTCTCGAATACCTTCTCTTCCTTTGAAGCACACCTCAGCGCTGGCACAGTACGGTTTCTCTAATGGTATATCGTCTTTGTTGTTCTCACACCAAAAGCAGCCAATAATGCCCTCACACGTTTCCGAAGTATTCTTCTCAGTACAGCGGGGTACGAAGCAATCTTCCAGTACAGGATCGTTACAGGAATGAATTTGAACAATGTGGCTTGGAGCACCACATGCAGCTGATAAGACTTCCTCTGCCGAGGGCGCACAAATGGGAAGACTGAAAATATGACCAAGGAAATAGGAATATTTAAAGTTTGCACGTGCGTTTTAAACAAAGGAGCAGCTCCTAAATGCCAAACCTTCTTATCTCTTTAACAAATAGACAGTGGTTTAGTGTGGTCTGTATTTTAATCGACAACAGGGACCTTAAGAAGTCAGGACGGCAACGCCAAGGAAGACTCCGATTAAAAAATTAATTTCTACTCTTAGTTAGAATTTCAAACATGGCTGTAGGAGCTTACTGTCTCATACGGCGTCACAGCTCAACTTCAGCATGATGTATTAAAGTAGCGTTGAGTTCCAAATGAAAATTAAAATAATTTGCCGTCGTGGTTTCGGTTTGCAGACGACGCAAATTTTGGCGATTTCACGTTGTTGTTTTGCATAGGACGGCTAAGAAATCTACAAAGTTTCAAAACGCACGTGCTGGGCTATTGTTCTGCCAATTAGATCTATTGTTTTTCCACGTTCTCGTTGTCGTCGCCGTCTGGTTGCTTTAAGTCCCTAATGTTTGACGAAAGGCAGTTTCAACGTCCGAAGAAACGATTTCGGAAAAAGTGCATCGCTTTTTCGCCGCTTTTCTTTAATCAGAAATTGATTCGGATCACGTTAATGCTAAGGATGCATGCGTAAGTATCTATTTCAATAACTACGAAATGTGTAATAAAATCAACCGATAAACTTTTCTCCATGCGCAAGGTTTATTGTGAAATTGACATCCTTAATAGTCTCGAAATTTAGAAATATCAGTATGAATCGCCAAGAAAGAACTCATTAAAGCCTTTTCAGTTTTGTTTAATTGTGTTAAGTGTACGTCTCGCTATTTCTTGGCTCGGTAGTACAAAAAAGCGCTGAAACAACTACTTCGAAACAGCACGAGACTAAAATGGTGTGCTTGAGTATGTACTTGAGTATATATATCTTATCAGAAGTTTTGTCGTGTATTATCGCTGAGTATTTTTACGAGTTGTACCGTACGTGTCCTTTCATTCACAACACTAATAAAATATCGGGACCTAAACGATCCATTAAGATCACCGATCACTTCACGTGCACCTCCGCCAATGTAATTTATTGCATAACTTGCACTTATTGCAAAAAGATATACATCGGCGAAACAGGCAGAACATGGACTAGGTGAACGCTTCCGAGAACACCTTCGAGACGTGGAAAGGAATGACAAGGACACATCGAAACCAGTCGCTAGACATTTTAATTTACCTAATCATTCTAAGCAACATATGGCAATCTGCGGTCTTTCCTTACACTTAGGTAACACGGAAAGCCGTAAAAATCTTGAACAAAAGCTCATCTTTCAAACCGGCAGTCTAAATCCCACAGGGATCAACGAACGCTTTTCATTCCACTAATTTATTCTTGTTTTTCTCGTTGCCATGTTCCCACCAATAACGTAGCTCCATTTTCTGCCTTTAAAAGCACACACAACCCACAATTCCTCTATTCGCTCCGACGAAGGGCTAACGCTCGAAACGTCAGCTTTTGTAATCGTTACGGTGGCCAATTTACCANTGTCGTCGCCGTCGTGGTTGCTTAAGGTCCCTTTTAACGTTCATCATCACGGTGATTAAAATGTTGTGGACTCCAGATGTGCATCAAAGTGTTACCCAGTGATGTCTGAAAACGTGCCTAAGATAGGTCAGTGCCGATAAAATACTAAAAATTACATCAAGTTGACCAACCTGCTATTGTAAAACTGATTGTGGCAGTAATGGAAATCCAGGTGAGAAATACAGGGGCATTCACACGTCAAGTTGAGTAAGGAACATTTTGTATCAGTTGAACATGAACACGGCTCTGGAGGACAAAACGAATCTTTCACAGCAACACCTACCAACAAGCATTAAGAATTGAGGACAGATACTTTTTCCGACAGATTGGCGGTGCCGGTAGTCGATTGACAGGCTGTGCATCGAGTGACTGTCTGTCCACCTGTATGACTGAGCGAGTAAACCACGAGTGGCAGTCCTCATTTATAACCAGGGGGAGGGAGTCAAAGGATTTTGGTTGTGTCACGATTAAATCGACCTAATTCCCCATTTAGCACTGCAGTATTAATGTGATCCCCTTCAGTGACATTTGATTGGCAGTTCCCCCCTAGTAATCCATAAGTCACAACTGATCCCCTCCGTTCCCCACTAAGAACCATGTAGTCCTCCCAAAATTCTCGGGAGGACTGAAAACATTTTGTAGTGAAGTAAGTATCCCCAATAAAGGATTACTTTATACCTAAGAAGGCATTAGTTCCCACAATTTGCTGCAGTTGGTATTTCGAGCATCTTGCACCACTTCGTAGAGTGTCAGCTCCTCTGGGGGGCAAGTGAAGCTCGTAAAAGCTTTGCTTCTGAATCGCTTCCAAGTGACGACAGTGCTTTTTTACCAGGTATTTCTTCTTGATGAGGTCTTCTGCGATGTTTTTCTCCTTCTCTGTGATATGCACAAATTGTAGATCAGACGATGTGGCCGACGGAAGGAGGAAGTCCTCGTGCATGATAAGAAAACCACCGCTATCCATTACAAAACAAGAGTATGTTTTGGTCTCCTTACACTTTGGATAAACGTCGGTAAGTAACCTGCCAATAATAGTTGTAAATTTTACAAAACATTAGGTTAAGAAAGGCATCTACTGCTCACTTCTCCTGATGGCAAAATGTTTCTTTGTTTATAATACTCCTGATTAATCTCGGGCAAAAGAAACCTCTTAAATCTTGACACATATAATTATGCAGTAAATGGTTTGAACCCGGGGGTAACATGTGAAGGTGTAGTCTGATCGTCCGAGTGAGTGTAGTCCTGAAAAGGACTGTTGTCGGTGGTAGTGACAGTTGACTCTGATGATGACTTCCGCACAGGTTGTCGAAACGTCAGTCACTACCACCGACAACAGTCCTTCTCAGGACTACACTCACCCGGACGATCAGACTACACCTTCACATGTTACCCCCGGGTTCAAACCATTTACTGCATAATTATATGTGTCAAGATTTAAGAGGTTTCTTTTGCCCGAGATTAATCAGGAGTATTATAAACAAAGAAACATTTTGCCATCAGGAGAAGTGAGCAGTAGATGCCTTTCTTAACCTAATGTTTTGTAAAATTTACAACTATTATTGGCAGGTTACTTACCGACGTTTATCCAAAGTGTAAGGAGACCAAAACATACTCTTGTTTTGTAATGGATAGCGGTGGTTTTCTTATCATGCACGAGGACTTCCTCCTTCCGTCGGCCACATCGTCTGATCTACAATTTGTGCATATCACAGAGAAGGAGAAAAACATCGCAGAAGACCTCATCAAGAAGAAATACCTGGTAAAAAAGCACTGTCGTCACTTGGAAGCGATTCAGAAGCAAAGCTTTTACGAGCTTCACTTGCCCCCCAGAGGAGCTGACACTCTACGAAGTGGTGCAAGATGCTCGAAATACCAACTGCAGCAAATTGTGGGAACTAATGCCTTCTTAGGTATAAAGTAATCCTTTATTGGGGATACTTACTTCACTACAAAATGTTTTCAGTTCTCCCGAGAATTTTGGGAGGACTACATGGTTCTTAGTGGGGAACGGAGGGGATCAGTTGTGGCTTATGGATTACAAGGGGGGAACTGCCAATCAAATGTCACTGAAGGGGATCACATTAATACTGCAGTGCTAAATGGGGAATTAGCGGAATTCTATGTGACTGTGCAACCAAATCCTCTGACTTTCCTAGGCGATAAATAATGACTGGTCTTTCACTACAGTGCAGTAAAATCATGAAAGTTTATCTCGAGCTCTGAATTTGAACCTAACGACAATGGCACAGTATGTTTGTACCCGCAAGATATTATCAAAAGGAATTTTTTTAGCTTTTTGGCGTGGAACTCACCGATATCGATAGCCTAATTGTTCACCATTCAACTTCCCTTGAATGCTATATTCTTCTTTTTAATACCACATGGCTATTCATTCTGCTACTTTGTCCTACTCTGCCATTTTCATACTTTACCTTTAGAAGCATTCGCTCCAAAGTGAGAACATATCTTGCCATTATTGTATATGTCGATTCGATGGTAATTGAATGAGTAACCTGCGAAAAGTGTCATAAATTGAGGTTATTGTGAGGTCTGTTGTGAAGTATGTCCAGCAGAGGGATTGCAGCATATATCCTTACCCTCAGAAAAACTCTCTCTTTGCATAACATTAGTTATACAAACAAAATATGTCTCAATGAGGACAGTGAAATTTTCCCCTTGTGTATCGCACGTTCTGGCTGTACGCAAAGGGGGAGAACTTATGCTTAGAGACTTAAAGCAGTCACGATGGCAACACTGAGGAAGACGTCCAGTAAAACATGAACATATATCTTAAGTTAGAATGTTGTAAAAGGCTGAATGTGTCAACCGTCTTTTACAGGCGGTCTTACGGTGCCACAGCTCAGCTTCAGCAAAACATAGGGGAGCAGTCGTTGAGTTTCTAAAAAGAAACTTATACCATTTGTCGTCGGGATTTTCGTTTCACGTTGTTGTTTTACAAAGAACCGTTAAGAAGTTTCAAAAAGCACGTTCTTAACTATTTTTCTGCCCGTTTTTACTCCCTCGTTGCCGTTGCCATCTTGTTTTCCTAAGATCCCTATTAATTATTGGCTCAGTTCGTCGTGACTTGCCTGTGGGTCAGTTTTTTGAGTTTCCGATCGCATTCGGAAAAAGTCGTGTAGGTAACTAGATTTATAACTCAACTTCTTTACTTTGATTGAGTAACCAAGAATGAGATGTAAACATTATTTAAAGAATTAGTCGGTGGTTTGAGATAGTGTAGCACAAAAATTCGACACAATTGATATCAGGTCAAAGTTGCATACATATTTCCGTTAAATAACGGACGTCTGAGACTCAAACCGAGAGTATTTCAATAGGTTGAGATTATAGATCAAGCTTTATAATAATATAGTAAAAATGACAATCTTTATACAGGGGGCTCACATCACTGGGGGAGTGGTATTAGAAGGCCTACTGACATAGGCCTTCTAATCTTACCATTTGGCATTCGGAGTGGTTTAAGTTGGTCCTTGGCATGACCAACAGGAACAACCACGCCCACAGTGAAGTCGACCTCCATTAAAGGCGTCCAGAAGTATGTGCAGTTCACTTCCGTCTCTGTCACCCCTTGTTTCTCGGTTCCACCTCGTGGAAGGAATCGTTTGGCAACAAAACTCTTTGACCCAGATTTTCCTCTTTAACGATAAAAAAGAACATTACCATGATTATTATTTGTAACAATTAAAGTCTGGTATACACAACTTACATCTGTAAACTTAACATACTTTTTGATCGAGTCAAACACCTCCTTGAATTCTGCATCTGGCTCCAAAGTTGTTATGTCCATAAAAAAGGGATCCCCATATGCATCAGTGGGGGCTGGTAGAAGAGGGTGAATAAGGGTCCTTCCAGAGTTGCTTATCATGAATGCATACGTACTCTGACCTTGGTTAAAGAATGTTATGTCGGACAACAGATCCTGGACGGTAATGTCAGTCCCTACCACGCCAATGAATTTTCCGTTATGGAAACAAGACAAAGAAATCGTCAAGACTTGCCCTGAAATAAAGGAGCGAGAAAAATAGCTTTGATGTGCGAGTAAGTAACTAGATCTTATAACGTAATAAAGTCGCTCAGGATTTCAGGAGAACGGAGAAAAGCTTTTAAATCACGAGGTGCCACAAGATTTTTGACGTTCTTCCAACATCTCAAGAGGGTTTATCACTTTGTAAAACCCGGAAAACGGAAAATGGTTTTCTTTTTCTTTTATGAGATAACTGTAAAATTTTGGATAACAGAGAATGTCATCTATTTTGTGCTGAAGTCGCTGATTCTAGGAAAACCCGTCAAATGCGCGAGGAACCAATCAAAGCCATGGAAGAGACACCCCACTGACCTGAACGCCAAGAATTGTTATAACATAACAAAAGTAAAGCGCGCGCTCTGATTGGTCAATTTAGCGTTCCCCATTTGCCCATGGGTGTACGCTGCTGACGTGAGCAAATGCAAAGACTATTTTTCCGCGCGCGCTTGTTTTTTCTGGTCGCGTAAGATTTGTTAAATAAACGGGAACTCTTTAGCTACAATGTATCAATGTTATGTTATAAAACAAATGGTAAACACCACAGCGTACACTATTGAGTTATGGATGCACTTGGGAGGTTTGCTAAGCACTCAAGAAGCTAGAGTCGCTCTCGGCTGTCGCCTCGGGCGACTCTTACGCTTCTTTCGTGCTTAGCAACCTCCCGCGTGCATCCATAACTCAATAGTGTACGCTGTGGTGTTTACCATTTGTTAAATATTATGAATGAATTTAGACATAGAATCCGAAAACAAATTATAGTGGAAACTAAAGAGAATTATTGGTATGTAAACCTTATGATTTGCTGTTGAGGCATACCTTAACTGGAACGAGCAAAGCGGAACTTTGTGGTTAAAATGTTAGTCTGCCTTCGCGAAAGTGAACTAAAGCGTATGGAAAGTGTGCAAGTATAGAGCGCAGTTTTGATATTTTGGTGACTTTCTTCATTGGAATAAAGGTTAGTAACCAAAATATCGCTCATTTAATTCTTTTTTATTTTGTAAACTCAACTGTAAAAACTCTAACACCTTTGAATTAATTAGCTGCAAATTGTGACGGACAATAGCAAGGGAATCGAAAAACAGCAACACGCTATAAAGTCATTTCACAATCGCGTTAAAAATATATTACTTTTGCCTGACGTTTTTCCACGAGGCAAAAAAAGAAAGGACTGCAAGTGTTAGAGATGCTTAAATACGGCTCTTCTTACACCAGCTTTACTCGCGTAGAAAAAAAGGAATCGTTACGACTCCAAGAAACTTAGACTTACTCACGAGGCCATGGTATTATGGTAACTTTGAGGTTTTTTTCTATTGTGTAGAAAGGAGTTTTAGGAAAATTTATAAATGAAAAGTTCTCTGAATTCATTGCTGGCAGTTCCTTGAGGCAAAAAAAAAAAAGAAAAAAGAGGAATGAGAGCCTGGCCTGGAGCTCCTTTGCCGAAATTCTTTTTTATTTGGTCGTTTACCGCACAACAAGATTTAAAACTTACAAACCAAACTTCTGTTCAACTGCGAGTTTGCAATTTTGTCAGTCATTTTATTAATGTTTTATTATATCAACTGGAGAAAACTGGAAGCGGTTTGTCACTTATAGTGTATTTCCAACACGAAATTAAAAGCTGACGTTTCGAGCGTTAGCCTTTCGTCAGAGCGAATGGAATGATTTTCACGCTGACAAAGGGCTAACGCGCGAAGCGTCAGCTTTTACACCTTTGCGGTGGCTAACTTCCATTATCAACTTAGTTGATAAAGTCAAGTTACCTGTTCAGTGAAGTATTTACAGTTAACCTGCTCAGAAGCTAACTATACGACAATTATTATTTGTAAAACATTTAAAGGTGCCAAACTCAACATACCTAGTCCAAAAGCGTCCATATAGGGCACAGACACAACTGGATCAAGGTGGGTTCCCAGCGAGAATAAATCATAATAGGTTGCCATGTCTACTCGTAAGGTTTTGAAGTCTTTAACGTATTTGTATCTGCCAGTCTAAAAGGAATAAAAAATGGTGAGTTAACCATAGCTAAAGAAGATAGGATGAGTTTCAAGTCAGTGTTGCATGCAAGCCAGGATTGCATTGGTTTTGCTGTACGTAATTCGCTCTTTGATTGGTCCAGAAAATTGGCGCCATTCCCAACCGATGAAACGCAGCCGATAAAAATGCTTCTCGCTCATTCACACTTTCCCGCGCTCCGAGCAGTGTACTTGTTTTTATTTTGAGTTTCATCGGCTCGTAATGATATTCTCCTTCCTTAATTATGATCGGCCGTTGCGATTATTTTGTTTTGGGTTTCTACGAAGCTCAATCCAGGTTCACTTTCATGTGCAAAACTTCGCTATTCAGATGTCTGCCAACTTACCGTGATGTCTCCAACAGAGATATTTGCTGGTATACCATATTTTGCTGTGTTCTGCTTGGCTATGTCTTCTAGAATTGTTTGGTTTGCATTACCAAATCCATACGTTAAGATGATGACAGAGTTATTCAGCTCAACATTTTTATTCCTTATAGTGCGGAAAATAGCGTCCTTCTTCATATCTGAGGGTTCGCCATCGGTCAGAAACAGAATAACTCTTTTCTTTTTTTGCCCCGATTGTTCAGAAACTGAACCCTTAAAGAGACTGAATGCTTTTTCAAAAGCCAGCTTGTACTGGCTCAGACCTGCAAGATTATATCATAAGATGTCCATAAGAATCACCCAAAATTGCAATTCGCGAAAAACGGAAGAACAAAGTGTGAGATTTAGTAACATTCTATGAATCTTTAGAATTAATGTAGAACGATCAGTGCAAGTATTAAAAACGGATAAGATGGCATGGCGCTTTGCGAAGAGATAATCGGTTCTTATACATAATCTTTTGTACCTTCTTGTCTGAAATTTCTGAAAATCAGAGTTTGAAATGCGCTTGGTCACCACTGCCTGCAAATCATACTGTGGTAAAGATAAATTTCACTACTTACCATGCGGTACCAATCCATCAACAAAATATTTCATTTTCTTGATATTAGTAGGGACTGCTTGTGCTAATCTTTCACTGTAGCACGAGCTTTCGCCCCCAGCGTCTCCTGGAGTTGACGCTAGAGTGCTAAATGAAACAACGCCAACCTAGAGAGTAAATCACGTTTCATAATCACTCAGCTCAGAGAAGGAAAAATGTTGAACTTTTCCTTTGTTTAACCTTTACACACAGCTGCCTGAGAGAATACTTTAAGATTACGGAGGTTATATCACTGAGTTATTCCTCCGATTTCTATCGTCTCAAAAAATGTTCGAAGGAACAGGTCATAATTTATTGCATCCAATGTGATTGAAAACTATATGACTTAAGGACCAGCTATTATCAGTATTGCTGGGGAGCGAATGATTTTGAAGGGGATCACTTGGTTTTTAGGGGGAACGGGAGGGGGGGGGAGAATCGGAACGTAAAAGGGAATGGGGGGGGGGCTATAGAAATTAACTGCCAAGTAACTGCCAATGGAGGAAGGGGCATCATGAGAATTTTACAGAATCTTAAGGCAAGGTACCACGCAAACTACCTTCGCACCTGGTCTTTAGGGTTCATAGTGTCCAACACCGTTTTGGCAGCTACTTTGGCAACGTGGAGTTTTTCTCCAGTCATGGATGCGCTGATATCAATAACAAGGACTACATCTTTGGCTTCTTGTGTGGCAGCTTCCACGTACCATGGTCTGAAACGGGCGTCAAACCTTCCGCAATCCTCTTTATCGTCATACACAGGAAAAGTGGTCATTACACCTTGCTCCGACCCAAAATATTGCCATTTGATAAAAGGATACGTTCTCGAGATATCTCTCATTTCTTTTGCAACCCCTTCATCTAAATATACAGGGTTTGGAAGGGCACTAGTACTGCTAGAAATTTTCAAACAGACACTGTCCATATCCACTTTGGTATGAAATCGAATATCATACTTGAGTGTTGATTTGTCGACTTTGCAGCATTCCTCTTGAGGCGTTGGGTTCACAGAGTCTGCTCCGACGTAGGATGCTTCCACAGCTGTCTTGAGCCGTTTTACAACTTCAAATCTTATTTTGAACTTGTCAGAAAGTTTTGCAGCAAGTTCTGGAGTCACGAGATCTCCTCTCACTGTTCCCTTGTGATAATGAAGGCTTTCGAGGTAGCTCTGAAAATATCAGAGAAAAATCAGCTTCAGATCTTAGGTAATAGAGGATCAGTAATTAATAAAATATAACATTAAACACGTACTAATGATAATGATTAATGATTAAGCAGTGGACAATCCATAAGGTGGCTCTTCCTGTCCACTGTTTCCAGGTCGAATTGGAATTTGGATTGCTGGTTTTTAAGAAGCGAGGAAACCCTGAGGACCTGGAGAAAAACTCTCTGAGCGAGGACGAGAAGCAACAACAAACCGGCTCAACCCACATGTGGCGCCAGGTCCGGGCCACTATGATGGGAAGCAAGCGCTCTCACCGCTGCACCATCCCTGAAGTCTACGAGTGCACGCTCTGATTGGTCAATTCAGTGTCTACTATTTGCCCATGGGTGTACGCTGCTGACGTGAGCAAATGTTTCCAGGTAAGCAATGTTCCGCAAGAAATGTTTTTTTTTTATGTTATAAAACAAAAGGTAAACACCACACTATTGAGTTATGGATGTACTTGCATACGCGATTGACAGTTTTACTTAGCACGAATGAAGCTAGAGTTCGGCTCTCGGCTATCACCTCGAGCGACTCTTACGCTTTTTTCGTATTTTTCAACCTTCCGCGTGCATCCGTAACTTAATAGTGTACGCTGCGGTGTTTGCCATTTGATCATTTTTGATTGTGTCTATTGGAAGATAGACGCATATATGACGTCACCTTTAACAATATTTAACTTCTTCATCATCTGAAAAGGTAGATCACAGAAGACGTCAGAACATCACAAAAGTGAAGAATGTTATAAGAACATGACACACCCAGCTACGCCTTGTGTGTTCCGAATATATTATTTTAGCCCCTTATCGATTGTGCTAGTAAAAGTAGCATACTATGCTATTAGCAGTGACCGATTTTTTTCCGAATTAAGCACAAAATTATGCTCGTTTGTGAAAATTGTGCTACTTTCTCTTAATGTATGCTTAAAAATAAAAAAAACACAAAACTAGTCTAAAACCAAAATGTTATATTCATCGTAAATAAAGCATCATATTTTCTTTATCTTGAGTTACACAGGTACTGTCTTGGCCCCTCGTCTCTCTACTGAGTGCTTAGGTAATTAATTGTTCTCTCAACTTCGGCTTCTTGACCTTTTCTTTCCCACTGGTGTGCTTTTTGGAAGCATAATGGATGATAAAATGCTTTTTTTTTACGAAACAACTTCTCTGCAAGCACTGCAAAATATCGTGTTGCCTCTAACACTTAGATAATGACCTGGAAACTGATTGATGCGATCATGTAATGGGACTTTTTTCACGTCTGATGCTTCCCTGGTCTTGCATTTGCTGTTAGTTTCATCAGGCTCCGATCTCTAGTAATTTGAGTGGGTTCTGGTCTACCAGGAAGCTGTTCTCCTTCTAAGTTGCTCGACGCCATTTTGTTGCCTGTGAAAGCCGGAACTGGGACCGACGCGATCTTTGCTTCCGGTGTGCCTAGTCCTTTAGACGACCAACGACACAGTATTGCGATAACTTTCTTCCCCTCCCCCTCCCCCAGACGAATGAAAATAGACTGAGCCATGGACAAAACTTGAAAATAACCAATCTTAGAAACCAAGCAAGTCAGGACTCTGGTAATGTTAGTTAGTTAGTTAGTTAGTTAGTCAGTATATGAAATTGTAAGTCCAGACGTATGACTCTGGGCATGTTACTTTTGGTATTTACTACTATTCATGAATAGAGAATTTCACAATGTTTTCCTCAAAAAAATAAAAATATGCCGATTATGCTAGTAGTGCTACTTTTAGAAAAAGTGCAAAATTTATGCTCGTTTTTCCAAATTATGCCAAAAACTATGCTAGCGCAATCGATAACGGGCCTACATTATAAACAGACGCACTGCACCATGGAACGTATTTGACAAAAAGTAATAGAATTCCCAGCATTGCGCCCTAAATCTACTGCCTTATATAAGTCTATCAATCAAGGGCGGGATACGTTATGATAGATGTAGGATACGTTATGATAGACGGTGACAGAGTATGTCTAAGCATTACTTCCTCTTTCGAAAATGTTTAGAACAATGGCCGAGCGGGGGTGTTATTGAAACGTAGCTACCTCCTAGCAAAATCGTACCTTGAAGTTTCGAACCAAAAGTTCGACGTTGTTGATATGAAAGCGGAGTTTAGATTCTCTGAGCTGAAAAAACCTGAGGTGATTCGAAACTGCTTTGAAGGTAAAGGCGAACGCATCCCATTTGTGACGCATTTGTTATTAGTGGTTAGTGGGGTGGAACGGTGAATCAAAATTGTTGAGGCAAACACTAAACAACGTAGCTACAAGATGGCTTTAAGAACCTTTCCGAGTAAGGTTCTGATTGACATTGATTCTTGTCTCTTAAAGCGCCACGTTCAACCAGGATGCAATGCGTGAGTGGTGGCCTTTCTCAGTAATTTCTGTCTTACAGACAGGAAAACCTATAGTGTGCGTGTTATCATTCGACTAAATCTTTGCAATCTTCTGATCGAGAACCGGCTTTTTATGGGTTCATCTTGTTTCTTCACAAATTATGTCTATTGTCTATTTACTATTAATAGATGATATGTATTTGGTCAAAAAAATAACCACAAGCAAAAACCGCAGTAATTAAAATTTCAGTAATCATTGCTTCACCAATAGGATCTACATCCTGTTTGTGGCGCGTAAATTATTAGCAAGCAGGAACTTAAGACGTTGGGTGATTCAACGTTCCAATAAAGTTTTAAGTTCTGAATATAAGGTCCCATAAATCACTGAAACATTACGAATATTATCTTTCATCAGCCGCTTGGATGATTGCGATGGACGTCATAAAGTAAAATACACATTATTGCCTTGACAAACAGGAACTCGTTTGGTTGTAAGTCATGCAAATAATTGTCACAAATCAAAATTGAAAACCTGCAGCTTTGCAAAAGGAAGATAAGAAATAACTTTTATATGTCTTTATCGTCGTAAAAACGAGCGATAAAAAATATGAACGACGTTCATATTTTATCGCTCGTTTTTATCACTAAATGTTTTAGTAAGAAGAACTTATTACTTCGTTTATCGTCGTAACTAAAGGAAACAAATTATGATATAGTGCAGTCAAAGAAATTGAAGAAACTTAATCTTGAATAAATCAGGCCTCGACGACTCGAACACAAACTTGGGCTTTTCTCTACTATCAAGTATTATACTTCATAGAAAGAGTAGTTTCTGATACACTGGGCCAAAGGGAATTAATTTTTGTATACCTGCATTTCGTCCACTCCTAGCACGTCCCTGGCGAATGTTTGTAGCTCTTTGCCTATGAAGCCTGGATCCAGAAGACTTGCATTTGTTTCACCCGCTAGAAAAGTGCAGAGGGCTAGTAACAGCATGGTGCTGGCTTTTTTGTCATTGAAGAAAGCTTTTCTTGTCTTTAAAGTCATTTGTTCTGAGTTATCTCGATTTTCTTCCGTTATGTCCTCGCCCACGTTCTGCACCGACTGCTCTTTAAACAAACTGAAATTTCAAGGATGAGAGCACTATTTTATCATTGTTTGACTCGTGTGGAATTATTCTCAGTATGGTAATTAAATTGCGTGGTAGGGGCATCGTGTAAGACTGCACGTCACGCGATAATATTATCTTAGAAGTGTCGTATACTGAAGAAAGTGAGACCCATAAAATAACAAATTGGAAGAATTAGCCACAAAAAGGAACAAGTTTGATAAAGAATGGCGATTGTTATGAACCACAAGTGACGAAGCACTTTTTTAATAAGTAATTATTTCATTGAAAAACCCAACGAGTCAAAAACAAACGGTAATTTTAATGAGCTCAGGATCAGGTGTTATCATGAATGTTGCTTGGCAGAGCATGAACGGAACAAAAGAAGGGAAAGTACCTTCTTTATGATTGATCGCTTTCACGCCTGAATTACAATCACTGTGCGCAGTTAGTGTTGCTCGAATGGGATTTCTATGAATCAGCACTTAAAAATGAATTTTTTTAAGCGATAATCCCGCGATCTTATTGGGTAACTTTGGTCAATGTTTATCCGAGGTTGACGCAATAAGTTACAGTATTTGAGTTTTTCCTAATGGCTCGTTGAACGATGTTTGCGATATGCTGACTAGTTACGGGATTGACTTCTTAATTAATTATTGATCTATCATTAGGATATTATCCTTATTATTCAAACTTAGTTTACAATACTATACGTTGCTAAAAGTACATAAACTTCCCTTACAATTTTATAACGGTATTTATCTCATTTTTCTTTTCAAAAATCGCATTACTTACTATACAACTTTTGTGTGTGCTTACCCTGCTTAAAATTAAAAAAACATCGAATATTGCTGATATCTGTCCCTTCTACATTGACACTTTTTACATCAAATGTTTGACTACTTGTATAGTATGAATTACCAAAGACAAGAAAAGAAAATTCTTTCTGACTTAAAGAATGGAATATGGTCATTGACTCACGGTTAGTTGTTGCAGAGGAGGAAGTGAAATTTCACGGTTATTGCATATCAATTAATGGATTTTAAGGAAATTATAATTTGTCACCCATTCCGAGATTTGCATGATATCAGTCTGAGCGGAGTTAACTCTATTAACTCTGGTCTGAGTTGCTTTTCATGTTTCTGACTCCTAAATTTTTCATAAGTCTTTCTCGTTGGACGTAAACGAGGAAGGCTTGGGGCGACCCTACCCAAGTCTCCCTCGGTTTTCCCCTATGTTTTGGGCAGTCCTACCAGTCTTACTGAGTAGAGGGCAAGCAATTTTCCCTTTCGGAAGGGTAAGCAATACTTCGAGCTTCCCTTCCCTTGTCATCCCCATGCCTCTCGCGGCTATCGTAAAATCTTGAAGGAATTCTTTCCCGTTTCGATCGAAGAGGCCGAAATCCCCTTTACGGACAGGAAACTAAGCGTGAACGAGATCGCCAAAATTATTTTTAAATACCCCACACAGATACCGGTATAACCAGGAGCCCATGAGCTCCTGTGTGCAACGAAAACGCACGCTGCCCTTTTAAAATAATATTATAGATGTCCTTATCTTTTTCTTTTTTTTCGTACATGATATGTTATGAAGTTAATCAAAAACGCCGTCAAATGCCCGATCATCAAATCGGCAAGACTAAAACCTTATAATAATTCAGTCCAATTTGTGAATGAGTTGTTCTTTGTTTGGCGCTGTAATCCGATACTCGTCGCTAACAAGGGTGGCCTTTGGCGCGGAAATTTCACATCAAATAGATGATATGTGATTGGTTTATACCCACATTCCCCAAATGCATTCAAGCATATCGTCTTTCCGGTGAATTCCCGAAGTTCGACTGTTGGTGACTTGGCTGTCTTTATACAAGGTAATTTTATCACTGCTTGGAGAATTCTCCGTCATTCCTACTGGTGATTTTGCTCAAGTTATTCTGAATCAGAGAGATCTTTTTTGGATAGGTGAAATTTTACGTTGAAACAAGAGCTGTCTGCGAATACGGTCTTCCTTAGAGACAACTAGTTGTTTGATTCCACGACACGACGTGGTTTACGTACGGTTTCAGGTTATTTGCGAATATTTTAGCTAGTTCTTCAAATATAACTCCTCCATTTGGCAGCTCACGGTAAGGTAAAGTATTTATGCCCCCCATTCTAAATTCACTCTACTAGTTGGAAATTTCAGGCTTTCTGTCGCTATTTGTATCTTTGCATCTTCGCAGGACATGTGGTAAATAAATCGATGCGTGACTTCAAGATAAGCTTGGACATAATTCTTCATTCATTTGCTACTTGTCGTTAGATGAATGATCGTAGTTAGATCTATCTTTCAATTCTAATTCATTTTTGAGTTTTTAAAATTGTAGTTCTCCACAACGGAGGGTTTCTCCTTGTTTAGGAGACGTTTTAATTAATACCAACTTTTTGTTTCAGCACCTCAAACATCTTCGAAGTTGTGCACGTGAATATAATTATGGCAATTCTATGGAGAATTGCGTTATTGAAGCTGCTCTTTATCGGTGAGTTAAAACCGAAAAATCACACTAAGCATTGCGTATTTCTTTTTTGCATGCTCTAATCGTTATTCTGTCCTCACCCATGCCAGCGACCATATCCATTAATTTGACCTGATGTGAACTTTTTTTCGGACGTCCTGTCGATGGACATGGGTGGTATCGATTAAATGTGTGAAGGTTCATTTGGATCTTTTCATTCAAGACCGTGACGCTAATCCAAGGGAATTCCCACCCGCAGTCCTCGCTCGCATTCTAGTTTTTATGCCGGTTGCTATTCAAGTGAGGTTTTACTATCGATAACAATTAAGTAATTTAAATTTTTCTTCTACCGAACTGTCCGTTGTGGGTTTTATAGTTTGTTGATGTTGTGGTATGGGAGCGGTAGCTTAAGAATTCCTGTGGTTTCCTCAGCTTTGTTGACGCCCTGTCAACGATAATGACCATTTTGCCGTAATTGTCAAAACAATTTGTCATTGCAGATGCTTGAATTCAAAGTAATCTGATTCAGTTTTATTCCACGAGAAATCAATAACAGCCTTCATGGGAATTTTGATAAAAACCCGTATCGGAACAACGATAGATAAATTCAAAACAATCGTTAAACTTCAAGCATTAACACATCGACCTTAGCGATCAGTCGGCAAAAAATTAATTCTCATAAAGAGGTATTTGTTTTTATGGACAAACTGATGTCTTATACTGGGTAAATATTGCTTACTCGCTGCATATCTTTGCCTCTCACTTTTCATTTTATTTATTTATGATGAAATAGTCAAGTTGAATTTGAATCAATTTATCGTCAGTTGATAAAGAACAAACAAAATTAATGCCCTAACAAAGTCTTTTTTCCTTGTACTGTTAATGCAGTTAATGATAACGATGATGGTTAATTGTCAAGGATAAAAATAAGTCATTTGATTATTTTCTAATACTTGTACATGTATATATTTTTTTGAAAATTGTATCTTAAACTTGTAATTTGTTGTTCTCAAAGATAATTTTAAAATTTTACAGCTTTTGTTTTTCCAACATCTACGTCTATTACAATGAATATATGAAGTTCATATATTTTGAACTGTGGTATGAAATACATATGATGCACGATCCTTTGCAGTAGATAGCGCTATTTATGTGCACAACTCTCTTCTCCCCCCCCCCCCCAGGCCCTAACTGCTTTCAAGAAAACTCTGAGCCTTATATTTCCTTCCTGCAAATAAGTATGTATCATAATGTCTTCAAGTTAAGCTATATGCCCTATTCTTATGAAGTCTCTGAACATAGACTTCCAGAAGTCTTCCCTTTTGTTTTTGAGTGCCTCACTTTAAGAGCTCTCCATGGCACTAACATCCATTATTTTTCCGAGATATAAACACTCTATGGTCTTTATTGTTCACCACTAAATCTTTTTCTCCGCACTTGTTGAAAAACAGTCAAAACCCACTAAATGGAGATCAAACAAAATGTTTATTCATGCGTACAGCCTGTTACAAATGTCACTGATAATTTGCAACCATACATTGGCTAAAATTATACCTGTCAGAATTGAAAAGTCACTGTTTTTGCGATCTGCCTAACTTCGCGGCTGTCAAACCATTCAAAATTTTTCACAGATGAGTACCATCCATTCGGGTATTTTCCGCAGACGGGCACTATGGGCTGATAGTCTCTCTCCACGGATGAACACTATCGTGTCACATGATCAATTTAAACCAATAACAATCTGAGAAAATTTCGTGGTGAACTATAATATTGCATGAACTCCCAGAAGTGATTATCATGAAAATCCTCTCTTTAATAACCATTATATTATCCAGCAAACAGTTACCAAGAATACTCAAACTTATCAGGTAGGAGTTGGTATCTTAACCTTAAAAACCAAATTCTTGGAACTAATTTCCAAGGGAATACAGCCAGTGGGGAGGATTGTCAATCAGATCTTGGGACTCAAACAGGCCTTCTTTTTGTTATTTTACTTGTGTAGGTTGTCAAGTTCTCGGTCAAAATGGCAATACTCAATGTGCAGGACGTAGTTGTTACCCAGCCACAGGGGACCTCATGATTGGTCGAAGTGCCAATTTGACAGCATCTTCCACTTGTGGTATGACATCACCCGAGGACTACTGTATTGTTGCACACCTCCAGGTCAATCCGGAAGAGTGCTTCGTTTGTGACACAAGCACCCCTGACCTCAATCACGAACCAGAGAGTATGATATCAACCTTCAATGGAAATAAAGACAGAACATGGTGGCAATCAGAAAATCTCAAAGAAAATGTGTACCTTCAGGTAAACGTTTCTACCCACAGGGCTGTGGTCTAACAGCGCCAGTGGTGGCCTTTGGTGCCTTACTTTTCAGTGCTCTAGGGCAACTCAGGAATCTTAGTTTTTCAATGAAAAGCTTATGCTGGGCACCCTTGATTTCACAGTTTCAGAGCACTGGGCTTCCTTTCAATTTTTCTCTCGACCAGGAGAATTAATTAACAATCAAAGCTTTTTAGCTGGGCAATCGTTTGGTTTATTCCAATGATTATAATGAATAATTCAGCTAATGGAAGGAGAAATTACAGTGGGTCTTTAAACTTTAAACTTTATTTAGAGTACATATTTACAATAAAAAGAAACTGTACTCTCCCTTATGGCCCATATAAAATTATATACGACTAAAATACTAATTTTCTAAGACACTTAAATACTAAAATATTAAGATACTACACTATTACAATAAGAAAACTTAATAATTTACTAGAAATAATACTAGAAATAATACTAGAAAACTTAATAATTTACTTGAATACTAAAATAATTTTTCAAATACTGAACTATTAAAGTGCAAAATTAAAAATTAAAGAGAACTTAAGTACCATAATACTAAATTATTAAATATCAAGTTAACTAAAAAACTCTGTCAATTTTGAAACTGTCAGGTGTAAATTTGTACAATATTAAATCAAAGTATGGTCTTTTGAAACTTTTTGCACTTGAAAAAAGTGCAAAAAAGGTCCTGATCATTCTCATGGTCTAACTCTGTAACTTCCATGCATGACCAAGGCAGAATTTCTCCTTACAACATCTATACAATATCAAGCAGGCAAGTGATGAGAATAAAGAAACATCAATTAGGAGATTATCAGTTGATCCAAGACCAAATTCTCCAAACTCACATTATAAGAATTGTGTGGTAGAAAGTTAGGAAAATTACTAATGAATTCTTGAACGCAAAAGGGTTAAGAATCATTCCAGTGAAATTGCTATTATAATTATCGTTAGTATAATTTCAGAGCTGAGCAAAGAGTTTCCAGCAATTTGATTGGTCGAGCGGTTCCTTATATGACGCCATATAAACCGCTCCATGCGGTTTATATAAAATGTTAAAATAAAATGTTAATAAAATTAATGTTACTAAAATGTTATGATTTTAGAAATTTCTCTGTTGTTCAGCTCTGAAATTATACTAAAACAAGTATTTGCCTCAAGGTGAATATTGTCGAGTAATTGTTAAATACAATGTTGAAATAATATTCTTAAATGCAATCTGCTTTAAATAATTTTTAATATACTATAGTTCTTGGTTGATTTGAAATAGCTTGACCTGGAGGCTCAATTTCACTTCACTCACTTGGTGATGACATTTCGTACTTTCCGTCCTGCTGGAATGCTCATCGAAAGATCGTGGGACTACGGCAGGAACTGGCATGTTTATCGATACTTTGCTGCAGACTGCGAGAAGACTTTCCCTGGAATTTCCCACAGTCGGCAGAAAGAAATTGATGATGTTATTTGCACAGAGGATTTCTCTTCCGTGGAACCATCATCAAATGGAGAGGTGATAATTCAGATGGGTACAGTGTATAATAAATAGCCTCTGTGGCTGGAAAACAAATCAGGGAGGGGAGGGGAGGGGAGGGGAGAGTTAAACTTGAAAGCCAAGAGGAAGAAATTGCCATCATCAGTGATCTTTTGGTGTCGTATTATTTTCACGTCATTTGCACTCTAATTTATTTACCACTTATGCCTTCCTAGTCTTTTACCACCAGCATTGCAGACCAGAATTTTCAGTTGAAACCAGTTAATTGTACTCCTATGGAATCAGTTAGTTATTACAGTGGAACCTCTATTTAATGAAGTGCCAATTCAGGGAGTGGGGAAATTGGTTCGTTATATCAAGATTCTGTGGCATACATTTTACTGTAACTTTAGCCGGGTTGAAACTGAAGTATCATTCATTATACTGAGGACTTTGTTATATAGAGGTTCATTAAATTGAGGTTCCACTGTAATTGAGAATCAGCCATTTGATCTTTGAACTGATTGGTAATTTGTGATGTTTTAAAATCTTTATTCCTTTATAAGCAATAGGTGGTAGATTTTATGCAGAAAAATCACAATGTACCATAATTTCACCCTTTTGTGTTGTTGAAGTTTCTCCATTGATATTAAGTACGTGCACAAACTCAAAGCTGAGAAGCCACTTTTTTGAAACTGCCTCTGGCAAAGAAAACTAGTTTACAATGTATATATTCTTGGACAAGATTAGAGACACCTTGTGGAATGTCCACTGCTAAATTCCTCTTCTTACCATTATTATTATCATTATTCTATTATTTATAACTTATGCATACTGCGTGTGGACATAACTTACGTCATATGTACCACTAACATTTTTGTCATGATTTTGTATTAGGTTATCTTCAGGGCACTTAATCCTCAAATTGCAATAAAGAATCCATATAGCGAAGAAGTTCAGAACCTGCTCAAGTTGACCAACATAAGAATAAACTTTACCAAGCTGCACACCTTGGGAGACTTGGTCCTGGATCCTACGCAGCCTGAAGCTAGATTAAAGTATTACTATGCCGTGTACAACCTTGTGATCAGAGGTAGCTGCTCTTGTTATGGGCATGCTGAACAGTGTCTACCTTTGGATGATAGTGAACGGGATGTTACTGGCATGGTGAGAAACTGTGTAAAGATGTACTTAGTCCTTTGACTACCAGAGGTGATTAAACACGAAGGCGCGCTATATAAGGAAGTCTTCCCTGGGAAGACCTAGGCTCATTTGTCACTCACCGTTGACGTGTGCGGGTCAAATTCAAATGCTGGTAGACGAACAAAAGGAGCTAATGAGATATCTATTGTTTACTTCCACCAGCATGGTGGCATGAGGTAACATGCGAACCACCTACTTCGATCTCAAATTTACCGCCACAAATAAAGACAGTTTCCATTGGAGAAAGGAAATACAAATCTCAAAAATTCTTGTATTGTGATGAAGACATAAAACAATTTTGAGGAATGCGCCCGCTGTTCACTGCTTTGGAGTAGCTGTAGCTCAAGCTGACTTGACTCTAAGAGTTCTACATCACACGACGGTTGATTGACAAATGGTCCAGTGGGACATAAGGCTCCTTTTATAGCGCGCCTTCGTGTTTAAGTATTGAACTAGTCGTATATAAGAACGTTCACACATATGTTTCATATGTTTGTTGTTGTTATTGAACTAGTGTT